AAATCTGAAAAATAAAAATAAATTAGACTTGTGACAGTATTGCATGAAACCGACGATATAACATCGGTGTTTCTCTTCGTTTCCTATACACTCGAGTGACATCAACGAAGCAAGAGAAACGTCAACAACGAAATCGTCGTTATGTGTTGGTTTTAGTTTGGCTCCGCTTTCGCACTCACAGTCTAGTTGGCCTGTAGTGTGTTCCATTTTTATTGCTACCGGGGTTGTGTATCTCCTATCAGAAAAGCACCTCTCAACAACTGGAGGCTCCAAAGTACAGAAAAAGAAACGACACCGAATCAACCTAATTGAGGTCTCATTTATAATTAATAATCGCTTGCTCACTATCAGCTTGCGAAGTTCACAAGGGGTGAAATCCGGTAGACCCGCTCTGGTATCAGTCTGTTCTCGAGAGTGCATAGTTGAAGAACGGTGTCAATACTCGGCGGTTAATCTTTGCGGATAGAGCGGATTTGAAGAAGAGATGGCCAAACAGAAGGCTAGCGACGGCTACAACCGGGCCATCTACGGATCGCTCCGTACGCTGATGCACTTCATTTTGATGGTGCAATTTTCCTACGGAGTCTACTATGATTTCACCTATGTGCACTTTCCGCCAGAGATGCGACGACCCGGGGGCGAATTCGGTGGCAAGCTGAAATACCTCACCGTTTGGGATGCGGTAAGTAGGTTTTTGGAGATAGTTGTCGGTTTATGTTAGAAATTTGTGAAAAAAATTTCATCATACGTTTTCGTCGGTCGTGACTACACAAACGGCTTTCCCGCAGCAGGTGTTTGGCAGTGTATGTGTGTCGCGTGTTTGCCGGAAAAACAGCGTTGCATAACAACGGGCGCTGCATGGAAAAACACAAACAAACCCTTTCGCTTCCACTGACGGTGGAAACATTATTTTTAAATTGCGTTCAAATCACACAAAATGTAATTTGATGAGCACACTTCAGGGTTCTTATCTATGTTTTGCTCGTTTTATTGCATAATTAGGAACACTTGGGAAAATTGTTCGTATGAGTATGCACCTGCTGCTGCAATTAAATTGTGTAACTTTAAGAAGCACCACTTTAGTCAGCATTTTCTCGACAAAACTGGTCAAACAAGTCATTAACTCTCATGTCATGACGGTCGGTGCTTATGGTGAATTAAGAAACACTCATTAATAATTTTTGTTCCTTACATTTGATCGAAAAGTGGTATGGAACAAACTTGTAGCTGAGAAAATTTTCAACAAGCGCGGTTATCATTTTCTAAAGTAGAATGAAGTGGTGAATTTTGAGATAGATATGAACCAAAATTATGGTTTCCCCATAGTAATTTCCATATAAACTTCAAATGGTTTTTGCCAAGTTAGGTTCTTACTAAATGAGTTTGGGAAAGTTTGGGAAGATAAACAGGACCTAATTTGGAAACGTTTGAGCACTGTGGAGCGAAAATTTCAAATTTTGCATCAGTCTAATGTGCAACCATGATCCGGAATATTCGGAACCGGTTCTATGGTGGCCCTATGGTTGTCGTTTTGAGTGCCATTTGTATTGTCTAACTGTCAAATTTACGTCAACGCAACGCAAACGGATCTAATGTGCGTGGGCTTTAAGATTTCGTCGAGGAGATGTGATTTGATAAAGGGTGGAACGATCAAAAATTGGTCGACTAAAATTTGGTGTATTTTTTTTAATGTTGCCCTTAAATTCAACACCAATAATTGTGCAGGTGTGTGTGTGTACGGAATGTTGCCTCTATTTTGACTATTTAGTTCTCAAAATGGCGTCGAGCAACATGAATAGCGTATCAAAATTCTGCTCGCGCATAAGCAAAATCCCATGTTTTCCAACGAAGACTTGACAAAATCGCTGATTAAAGTGTGTGGGAAACGTCTGACGGATGCCGCAACAACCGGTAGAAGAATGTTTAATTCTTTTTTTTTAACTTTATTTGTTTCAAATTCAAAATAAATTACATTTCATTTTTACCTAGGTGCTCCAATTACTACAGTAACTTACCAGCCTTAATTGTTATGATATATATCTAAGTATTTTTACATTGTTCCTGTCTTGGCAATTCAGTATTTTAAACAGGTTTCTTAAACCTGCATGTCAGTATAACAATTGATATCTTAAAACTAAAAACTAAAACTAAATCTTATCTAAGTATAAAGAGAATTAATCGTTGCAATTGAGGATTGCAACGATTTTTGCCTGAAATTATTAATTATTTTGTTGGACATTTGTTCTAAAGTCTCAACATTCGAAATTCTATGTACTTCGGTAGTACTGTACCAGGGAGGCAACTTCAAAATCATTTTCAGAACTTTGTTCTGAATCCTTTGAAGTGCTTTTTTTCCTGGTAGTGCAACAACAAGACCATATTGGCACAGCGTAAAGCATGGCCGTTTGTTTAAATATTAGAAGTTTATTCGTCATGCAAAGTTTGGATTTCCTGTTTATAAGAGGATACAAATATTTTATATATTTGTTACATTTGGCTTGAATGCCCTCAATGTGATCTTTAAAAGTTAATTTTTGGTCAAGTATTAATCCAAGATATTTCACTTGGTTTGACCAGGAAATTGGAACTCCGTTCATAGTGACTATGTGACTACTACTAGGTTTCAAAAAGGAAGCTCTAGGCTTATGTGGAAATATTATAAGTTGAGTTTTGGAAGCGTTGGGAGAAATCTTCCATTTTTGTAAATAAGAAGAGAAAATATCTAAACTTTTCTGCAGTCTGCTGCAAATAACACGAAGACTTCTTCCTTTAGCGGAAATGCCTGTGTCATCAGCGAACAAAGATTTGTGGCAACCCTGAGGCAAATCAGAGAGGTCCGAAGTGAAAATGTTATACAATATAGCCCCAAGAATGCTACCCTGAGGAACTCCTGCTCTAACAGGTAGTCGAATAGATTTGGAATTTTGATAATTTACCTGCAGAGTTCTGTCAGTTAAATAATTTTGAACTAATTTCATAATATAAAGTGGAAAATTAAACTTTTTCAATTTAGCAATCAAACCTTCATGCCAAACACTGTCGAAATGCTTTTTCTATGTCTAGAAGAGCAACTCCAGTTGAGTGGCCTTCAGATTTGTTTGAACGAATTAAATTGGTAACTCTTAAGAGTTGATGAGTAGTTGAATGCCCATGGCGAAATCCAAACTGCTCATCTGCAAAAATTGGGTTCGTATTGATGTGAAGCATCATTCTATTTAAAATTATCTTTTCAAAAAGTTTACTTATTGAAGAAAGCAAACTTATTGGACGGTAGCTAGAAGCTTCAGCTGGATTTTTATCCGGCTTCAAAATTGGAACAACTTTTGCATTTTTCCATTTATCAGGAAAGTATGCCAAATGGAAACATCTGTTAAATAATTTTACCAAGAAAGACAAGGTACTCTCTGGGAGTTTTTTGATGAGGATATAGAAAATTCCATCATCACCTGGAGCTTTCATATTTTGAAACTTTTTAGTTATAGACCTTACTTCGTCCAAATCAGTCCCCCAGGAATCATCAAAAATATTTTCCCGAGAGAAAATATTCAGATAATCCCTAGCAACCTGATTCTCAATAGGACTAGTATGACCCAAACTGAAATTATGGGAACTCTCGAATTGCTTAGCAAGTTTCTGAGCTTTTTCCAAATTTGTGATCAAAATTTTACTTTACTTTTCTTTAAGCGCTGGAATAGGCTTTTGAGGTTTTTTCAAAAATTTTGTGAGTTTCCAAAAGGGTTTGGAACTCGGGTCTAATTTAAAAACATTATTTTCAAAAGTTTTGTTCCTCAGGGCAGATAATCGTTTTTTTAATTTGTTTTTGTAAATCTCGCCAGATAACTTTCATGGCAGGATCGCGTGTTCTTTGATATTGTCTCCTACGGACATTTTTAAGACGGATCAAGAGCTGAAGATCGTCGTCTATTATAATTGAATCGAATTTAACCTCGCATTTTGGTACTGAGGCAGCTCTTAATGTTTAATTCTTTAATATCTCCATAATACCACAGACAAATAGACATAACATATTGAATATTTCTCACTGTAAAACATCGTCGCAAAAACATTACCGCCATCTGTTGAGCACACTGTGGTGGGTAGTACGCTGAACAGATGGCGGTAGTGTGTAAACGTCAAACGCAAGGGAATTGACTATGCGCGCCACAGGTGGCGGTACTACCAACTACGATACTTTTAAATTGACCGTTAAATGCTTGTTCGATGAACAACTTGCGAGTGTTATGTCTGTTTGTCTGTGATAATACTATCGTGATGCTGTCTTCAGTAAAGTTGTTCCTACGTGTGCAGAAATTCTGAGCTTAACCGAGTTTGCTGTACCAGTTCTATGCACGAAAGAGTGAAATAATATTATTTTTCCATACATTTCAACCAATATCCCCATATAAATTTTAAATAAAAAGCGCCAGCTCGTGTTACATCCGAATGAGCTAAAATTTTCAGAGTGGTTTCTTACCTAATGGCACAAATCTAGAGGTAGGCCCATTGATAAAAATGATACAAAAATTTCTTCATATGAATGTGGGCCAGTCTAATATGGATCCATAGTCCGGAAAATCTGGAACAGATTCCATGTGGTCTTATGATTGTTCTCTATCATTTCCGGGAGCTACACGAAAACAAATAATAAGTTGACGCAATGATAAGTAAGATATATGAGAAAGATTGAAAAAAGCACACCCGTGAAAACATATTCTTGAATATATAACAGTGAGGGAGTTTGAGGGGAAGTATAATGACCACAAAATGTCTAAATCACTTTCACATTTTCACAATTTTTGTAATACCTTCGGTAATTTTTAAAGACTTTCTGATATTTAAAAAAAAAATAAAAAAAATGAAATCCGGAATCTCCAGCGTTTTAGCAGAACCATACAGCGTGACCTAAATTTCCTTAAGCCCATTCGAACTCTACATGCTGACGAAGATTTATGTAACTCACTGCAGCACCCGGCAATAAATTGTTTTATTTTTATTCACAGATCCTACAAGCCGTCTACTTTACGGTTTGCCTGGTCAATGACTTCATCGGTACCAATGAGGTCGCACCACGCAAAACGCCGCTCATCCGGAAACTCAAGGACTACATGCTGGCCGCTTTCGCCTTCCCGGTGGCCCTCAACGTGGGAGTTACCTTTTGGACGCTGATGGCCATCGATCGGGAGTTAGTCTTCCCCAAGGCACTGGATGCCGTTTTCCCAGGGTGAGTGAAGCTTCCTTCCTCTTTCCAAGCATTTTGCTCTATTTAATGCTAAATCCATTTGACACTTTGCAGCTGGCTCAACCATGTGATGCACACCAACATCGTGATCTTCATGATGCTGGAAATCTGCACCAGCTTCCGGCAGTATCCATCCCGTAAGGCAGGCCTGGCCGGACTGGGCATCTTTATGACATGCTACCTGACGTGGCTGCACATCATCCGTCACTTCGGTGGAATCTGGGTCTATCCGGTGTTGGACGTGCTGAATCTACCGCAGCGTATGGTGTTCTTCGCCGTCAGCCTGGGTTTCTCCGTTGGGCTGTATCTGTTCGGGGAGTTCTTCAACAATCTTATCTGGACCAAGGAGCTGAAGCAACTCAAGGCCACCAGTGCCAGTAAGAAGATCAAATAGAAAGGATCTTTTCACAGTTTGTGCAAGCGCGTGTGTTGTTGATGCATGGACGACGACTGAAGTGGCAATGTGCATTCACTATCCGTTGTTTTTTGTTCATTAATTGTTTTCCGTTGGTTGAATTAAAAACATTAAAAAAAAAAACCATTAATTTATTCATTTGTTTAACCTCATTTTAGACACATCTTTCGAATTTTAATTTATATTTAATTTAACAACTTAAAGTTTTCAAAACTTTTTCACAGCGTTATTTTAATCCATCATCTGTGATTTGTGCCGACTAATAAATGCAATAAATACATAGCCATCCATAAAACCTTGTTTGTTTGCGTTTTTAATGAAATTTTAATTTTTTATTCAGAAAATTGTGAATTGGTACACCTGCCGGAAGGGGCCGTTTAACCAATGTTGCTTGTATTCTGTAGCAGTAAAAAAGGAAACTTCCATTTAGATGCATTTTGAGCGCTAGTTGAGAGTCGATTGCCTGTTCTGACACGTTAAGCTACACACTCGAAACCGAGAATGACCAGTGTGGGAGCAAAGTTGTAGAACAGTTAAGACTTCGAAAACAAACAAAAAACTATCAATGACCAACTAGTTTAGCAGTGATAGCTCATGGTGAATCAAACGTAGTAACGTAAAAGTTAATCAAACCTAAAAATGTAAAAGTAACAAACACACACACACACACACACATATATACCTAATCCTAATCGTAAATGCAAAATCCACAAATTCTAGCACCACCGTGGTCACCAGTTTAGTCGTAATTCCTTGCGTTTATCATGCATTGCATCACCAGGCATTTATAAACATCTCCAAATCGAGGACAAGGAATGAGTGAAATTTAGATGTGCAATCATAGCTACGCCCTTACACATAAAAACAAATCGGTATTAGATAGTATCAAAAGTTTGCTTACTTTCAATTCGGAGAGACCAAAATTCAAAAATATATACATATATTCTAGTGAAAACACCATTTAGACGTTCGATTAGAAAAAAAAAAACCAGTAGCTAATGCATTTTATTTAGATGTCAAGTGAAGCGATTTGCCTCCAAGTAAAATTAACTAGTTTGGAGATACACACAAGAAAAACAAAAACAAAAGTGTAATGTTTTAGTACCGACTTTTCGGAGCTCAGTTTTGAAGACGATGATATTTAGGTGTCAAACAACAGCCAGCAGTCAAATTAATATTTGATTTATTGTAGAAGAGACCTTGTGCAGCGTATTTACCTTTTTTGATATTAATACATAACGCAGATCCTGTAGGCTATTGTAGGAGCACTTTAAAGCTATTAGTATTCAACACTAATTGAAATAAGTGAGCCAATTTATTAGAAAATGAATTTAAAAAAAGTGTATCTAAATCTAAATCCGTATAAAGTAAAATCTATCATTGTCAAATGCAACTAAATCCAGATCAATAAAATGAACGAAAAGTATTGAAAACAAGCGCAGTTTTGTTAAAAAGCAAGAAATGTCCTTGTCTCGGGTGTGGTCATCCAAGTAGGCCATCGTAGTAGTGACGGATGCAGATGAGCAGCCTAGTAGGTACTAGTACAGGGGGAACGACACATCCTCATCCATCATCATCCCACGTTAATGTTATCCTCAAATCCGCATTCTCATCCACACCAACCAAAATAAAAATCGGATCTCTTTTCCATTTTTATGCATCCCTGTCTATTTTTTTTTTTTGGCAATACATATATCCTGAACATGATGTTCATCGCTGATTATCCTTCTGTCTACCCTAATTGCCATAGTGATACTTATTTCGCTTACGATTTTCTTCGATTGCAGATGGGACATTCTCCACTACCTTTGGTTGCAAGTTTGTTGCACTTGTCGGTACTCCACATCGTGTTGAACGGGAAAACAAACGAGCTGCTGGACTGGATCCAATCTTGTTGGGAATATTGCGCCGATGCAACAGAGCGTACCAAAAATCTGATCCGCTTTCTTCAGCCTTCTTCATCAACCTTTTAGCTATCTTCACGGCAGCCTCCGACTTCCCATTGGCTTGCTGATGATGAGGTGCAGACGTGACGTGATCAAAACTCTATTCGCCGGCAAACTTCACAATCTTTTGATTCACGAAGTTTGTACCATTACCCGTCACTACTAGTTGTGGAATTCCGTGACGCGCAAAGTTTTCCTTACATGCAGCTACCACAGATTCTGGCGTCAGATCCTTTAACAAGTTGATCTCGTAAAAATCCGAGTAATGGTCCACTGTAACTAAAAATTTCCTTTTTAGACCATGGTAATCAGCAAAAAACACATCCATCGAAACCATCTGGAAAGGGTACACTGGAATCTGATGGCTTTGCATTGGTGGATTCGGTTGAGATGCAGCAAATTTAGCACAAATTGCACATTCCTTGACGACATCCTTGATCTGCGAACACATTCCTGGACAGAACAAATTCGCTCTTGCTAACTTCAGTGTAGCCTCCAGACTGATATGACAGCAATCCACAAGCTTTCTCCGGAGAACATACGGTATTAGTAAGCAGTCGTTCCTAAAGATCAAACCGTCCTGGGTAGACAGTTCGTTGCGGCAATTGTAGTAAATCTTGACGTTATCTGGCACACGATCAACCGAACTAGGCCAGCCCTGGTGAATGTACTTGACGATGATCTGCATTGAATGATCCTTTCCAGTTTCTTCCATTATCTCAGTGAGCCTTGTGTCCGAAATACTGAGAAAGTTACTAAGTTTCACTTCTGATATTTCATCAAAAACGCTGAATATATTAAGTTTTTCAAATTTTTCCACAGCATTTTCGTTTACCAATGGATATTGAGGCAAAGCATCTGCCACAACGTTTTCCTTCCCCTTAACAAACTCGATTGTCAAGTTGTAACGTTGAAGATTGAGCAACATATGTTGAAGACGTCGTGGCGCTGATAAGAGTGATTTTTTTAATAAAGGGTGATACGGTCAAAATTTGGTCAATATCAACTTGACGTATTTCTTTCAATTTTGCATTTAAAAAACCTGAACACCCCTCATTTTGAAGGTGTGTGTGTGTAGAATGTTGCTCCTATTTTGATTTTGGAATTCACTCTTGAGTTGTCAAAATGCCGTCCAAGCAAGAAGAGCAGCGTATCAAAATTTTGCTCACGCATCGCGAAAATCCGAGCTACTCGCACGCAAAGTTGGCAAAATCGCTAAAAGTTGCCAAATCAACCGTTACAAATGTAATTAAAGTGTTTGGGGAACGTTTGTCGACAGCCAGGAAGTCTGGATCGGGGGGAAATCGAAAACCAGAAGCCGCTGAGACGACAAAGAGAGTTGCCGGTAGTTTCAAGCGAAACCCTAACCTCTCTCTCCGAGATGCCGCAAATAAGCTGGGTGTATCGTCTACAACCGTGCATCGAGCCAAAATACGAGCCGGACTATCGACTTACATGAAGGTAGTGACTCCAAATCGCGATGATAAACAAAATACGACGGCCAAAGCGCGATCCCGGAGGCTGTACACGACGATGCTGACGAAGTTTGACTGCGTGGTAATGGACGACGAAACCTACGTCAAAGCCGACTACAAGCAGCTTCCGGGACAGGAGTTTTATACGGCAAAAGGAAGGGGAAAGGTAGCAGATGTTTTCAAGCACATGAAACTGTCAAAGTTCGCAAAGAAATATCTGGTTTGGCAAGCCATCTGTACCTGTGGCTTGAAAAGCAGCATTTTCATAGCTTCCGGGACTGTCAACCAAGAAATTTACGTGAAAGAGTGTTTGAATAAACGTCTGCTGCCTTTCCTGAAGAAACACGGTTGTTCCGTACTGTTTTGGCCGGATTTAACATCTTGCCATTACGGTAAAAAGGCCATGGAGTGGTACGCCGCCAACAACGTGCAGGTGGTTCCCAAGGACAAGAACCCTCCCAACACGCCAGAGCTCCACCCAATTGAGAAATACTGGGCTATTGTCAAGCGGAACCTAAAGAAGACCAAAAAAACTGCTAAGGGCGAGCAGCAGTTCAAGGCAAACTGGCTTTCTGCGGCGAAGAAGGTGGACAAGGTGGCTGTACAAAATCTGATGGCAGGGGTCAAGCGTAAGGCCCGGCAATTCGGATTTGGAAAAGCGGAAGCCTAACTGAATATTTTTCCTGAATTTTATACTAATTGAACTTGAAAAAGAAATTTAATTTGATTTTTTAAATAAACGATTTCACCGATTTACACGCGTTTTCCCTTGACCAAATTTTGACCGTATCACCCTTTATACTGATTAACGGTTTGTGGTCCGTTTTCACTGTAGCCTTCGGATTACCAACAACCAACTGATCGAAGCGAACACAAGCAAACACAATAGCAAGTAGCTCCTTCTCAATTTGAGCGTAGTTCTTCTCAGTGCTCGTCAACGTTCGTGACGCATATCCAATCACTCCGTTGTGCTGGAAAACTGCAACACCCAAACCATAGCAACTAGCATCGCACTCTATCACTAACGGTTGGGTCACGTCATAGTACTTCAGCGTCTTGATGTCCAATACCAAGGATTTCACTACTTTAAACTCATTTTCTTCGGTTGCTGTCCACTGCCACATAGCTGACTCGGAGATTAGTTTGCGCAGATTCGTCAGGTTAACACTGAGGTTCGGAATGTAACGGCTCAGGTAGTTGACCATCCCAACAAAACGATGGACCTCCTTTCTGTTGCATGGCGGCGCAAAGCTCTTGATAAACGATATCTGTCAGCATATGACCATAAAATTTTACGGAAGTTTGACAGAGGTTCATCTTTGATCGATTCAACTTTACGTTGTTTTCTTCTAGACGAATAATGAGCTGTTGCAAGCATTTGTTGTGATTGATTAGCGCTTCTTCCATTGTATCACCTACACCGTAAATGAGCAAATCGTCAGCTAAGCATTCAACGCCTTTTAGTCCCTGAATGACTTCCTGCAGCTTAAGTTGAAAAATCTCTGGAGATGGAGAAATTCCAAACGGCAGACGAGTCCATCGGTACCTACCGAATGGTGTCCAGAAAGTAGTCATCTTGCTGCTCGGTTTGTCCAGAACGACGTGCCAAAAACCCTTTTTGGTATCCACCGTGGAAAACACCTTAGCTTTTCCTAATTCTGGAAGGATTTCATCCAGCGTGGTGAACTGAAGATGCGGTCGTTTCAAAGCTTTGTTCAGATGGACAGGATCTAAGCAAATACGAATCCCTGAACCAAGCTCACCTCGTTGCACGATGACCAAATTACTGACCCAGTTGGTATTATGCTTCTCTTGCACAATGATTCTGTTCCTCTCCAGTGATTCCAATAGGAACCCTCCGGGGTGGTTGAATCGATGATTGAACACTGTTGTCTACCTCCAGCGCTACTGTGCCTGGAAACTTGCCGTAACCAGCGAACAGGTCCGGATGCTCTTCCATGATCTTCAGGGCTTCAACTCTATGTACGTTCAGGCACTTATCTGATGACATTGATGTTCTTGGACACAGATCCGATTCACCAAAGCTGACTGTCTCGCAAAATTTCACTAAGCCAAGCTCACGGGAAGCTCTGGCCGAAAGCAAAGGTCGATGGTTGACGTCCACAACCTGCAGAACCAGACGATACTTCCGTCCCGATCGTCGGCATTAGCGTTAGCGTTGTTATGATATACTTCGTAGATTGGATACTAACGACACTCACGTCTCTTCTGAAATTCTCAGTAAGACTACTTTCAGGAATAATGCTGGGGAGTAAACATTGGGGGGGAGAGGTAGCTCATCGATTCTTCCGGTTCGCCTCCTAGCATCGTGCTATAAGGTACCAGGCGATAACCAGGGTAGTTGATCGATAGCTCGATGACGTCATTTCGTTGGCGTCTGCAATGGGAAATTCTCATAGCAGGCGTTGACGATGGGACGTTGTCGAGTTGTTGAATAGCAACTATCGTGTTAACTCACCGATTACCTGTCGATCTGCCAAATTTGGAAAGACGTCTGCATTGAATTGTCTCATGTAATAATATTCCACCCACTATATCACAAGATATTGCGAGTAGCTGAGTGGAATGGAGATAAGTTAAGCATTGGGTACAGGACCAAGTCTCCCCTGGGTGGTGCCAAAAGATGAGCGCAATAGAATCATCAAGTTGCCATAAGGCACGGATGAGACTATTGCATGGCTGGGTAGTCAAAGTCTTCCATTCGTTAGTCATTTCAGGTGGACTAGAACAGGTTTAGG